CAATAAGATGTAAAGGAATGATGATCAATGACGGGCCTCGATGATGATGATAATGATGACGATGAAAATGTTGACATTTACTGGCGTCAATATGTTTTAATATTAATGTATATCTTTAAAAAAAATACAAAGCAATCAACTATCTATAAACATCACAATGTTAGTTATATGTAATCAAGTCAATCAAACTGTCAAACACAATAAATCCTGTCGTATAATCAGTCTTTTGAGAAATTTAGCTAACAATTGAATGTGTCGATTGGTTATATTTTTTCTTTTCTGAATTGTCTCTATATTCATCGTCCAGAACAAAAAACATTGATAGAAGGCATTAGATATTTTTGAGGGTGTGGGGGGGAGGGAACATTACAAACTTTGTTGACGCTGTTATTCTCTTTGTTAGTTATTTTGTGAGTTTTACTGAAAATAATAAAATAGGTAATTCTTTTTTTCACCATTGAAAAATGTCTATGATAATTAAAAAATATACGGATATATGAACGAAGAACATTCCTCTACTGTGATTATTATGATTACGCCTACCTACAGGGTCAATTTTAAAAGTTATTAAACGTATAGCAATGTATGAAGTACAGCTATATACTATTTCTTTAAAATATGAATTGTAGTAATCCATTTGTACTTTACACCATTCACTCAGTTAAATGGATAGATAAATATAATTTTGCGGATTGGCTGAAATTAGACATTAACAACGTTGGATGCTAGATCAGTAGTTTACAGGTTAAGCGTTCGCTCGCGTGACCGATAGGTCCTGGCTTTGAATCTTGCGGGGTGGGATCGCGGATGAGCACTGTTGAGGAGTCTCACAATGGGACGAAATAGCCGTTCAGTGCTTCTAGGTTTTATATGGTGGTTCAGTTCCGAATGACTCATGAATTCAACCATTAAATTACATATAATTTCACAAATGATTGTATTTATTCATAATTCATTGTTGAATATCTCAGTTATTCTTAGTATTTTCACAAAGTGGTTTCAGATGATTTTCTTCTTACATTTCCTTTAGTTCAACAGTGACATTTCAATTGTTACAAATTATTCTAAAAAAGGTACTATTCATCATTGTGGAATAAAATTTTCTCCTACTTTGATGATTGTAATTATTATTATTATTATTATTATTATTATTATTATCAGCTTTATTCAATATTATATTTTTGGTACAATATAGAATTCTCAGCGTAAAGCATTTCAACAAGTTTCCGTTTCTTTCTTCTTGGTCGGTCCTGGCGATAAATATTAAGTGATCGCCAGTTAGATGTTAGCAGTTCAGTAAATGAACATATGAAAAATGTGCATTCTTTTCGCTGTATATTAGCAGCAACCACATTGGCTCTTATTGAGTTTTTTGTAACTTTGACATAATGATATATTAAAACAAACAAAAATAGATAACTTATTGAAATATCTAGATGGCAGGAACAGGTAGCCCAGAAGCTCAAGCAGGCCGCCCTTTATTATATAAAATAGTTGATAATTTAACATCATTTACCAGTAATAATAATTTTCAGTATCGATAGTGAATGATGACTTCATTAAATAAACTAATTGATGAAGTAACATTTTCCCTATTCTAGAAAAGAATACCATTAATATTACTTTTAAGACTGCTACCACTAATACCATGACTATTATTATTTGAAGAACATATATCATTTGGTTCATACTCTTATTGATGCAGTATTATTAGTGTTAAGTATATATGTTGTGATGCGTAAGGAAATAACTTTTAAGGAAAGGTTTCAAAAGAATTTATATATAAATATAACGTTAGGAGTTTTCCGCTACCAGTTTGTTTAAGTCAACTTATCCATACACACATAATATATATACTATGTGTGTGCAGGGATAATTTGACTTGAACGAAATGGTATATATATGGTGTTTTATAGCTTCTTTTCATTATTATCATTGTTCATGTTTGTCCTAAACGAAAAAAAGAGTTAAATTGTTATATGTTCATCTCATTTAGAATAGTTCTTTATTCGCTTAAATTCACCGAACCAATTAGGCTGGGAAAAGAATTTTTAAAAATATTCCACATTTTCTTTTGGTCTTAAGGGACTAAATAACGTGAATATATATATATATAGTTTTAAAAAGGTTTCTCGCCTTTTCTCACTGATCAACATGCATCACACCTTTCTATCTCTATCCAGATAACATTAATTTATAAGATAGAAATAAATGGAAATTAGTGGTATTATTCTGTTTCTTGTGTGTATTCTCTTCCTATCTAAACTTTTTATATTATAATATGAAAACGTTATTTACTAAACATTTTTTATCCTCCCTCGAGATTCAGTTCTTGAAATATGATACATATATATTGCATAAAATGATAATACTGATCGAAAGACAAGAATACAACAACATCCTTCGCCATTCTTATTTATTTTATAAATAACATATATACACTACTATTAAAACTGTGCATATATGTTAATAACATTTTAATAAAAGTTTTAACTTCAATTGAACTATGATACACCGTTAAATGGTTATATTATACACATGTGTATATCTTTAAAAGTATTTATTTTTCATTCTCCCTCTTTACTTACCTACGAAGTAGAATAAAAACCAATGGTAAAGGGAATGAATGCTTCTCTATTATCTATCTCTATTATAATAAAGTTGACTTATTTTTTCCTTACTCATAATTCTCACTTTATACTTAGATAAATTTGAGAAAAACATGGTTACAGTTATGCAATACCTCGTTGTACAGAAAATCACCTTTTTTTCCTATTTCAATAATTAAGAATAATCTAATTAAATATATAAGTTGTAAAGAGAAATATAATATCAGAAAGGGATTTTTGTGGATATTTTAGTAATTTAATAGTTGAGATTATGAGTCAATTACAGCTAGACCACCATGGAAAACTTGGAAGCACTGGACGGTTATTTCATTCTTAGCATTCATGATCCCCCCCCCACGAGATTCAGTTAATAAAAAATTATACAGTTTTACTCTTTAGTGTTAAAAGTATAACACTCAATAAAAACATGATTGATATATTTGAGAAAAGATTGTTGACTAATTATGAAATGAAATTTTTCCCATTGAACAGTTAAATCATGTTAGTCTATTTTCTTGAATACATTACAAAAGCTAAGTTAGATTTGAACTGACCAGTACAGAAATAAACCAGCATTGATTGGAGTAGCTAGTTAACCATATTTTAAATTGTATACATTCTATGAAATTAAACTAACCATTTAGTTAAAGGCTTAAATTTGGAGAACTTAAAAGGCTTAATAATTAGACTATACTCGTCTGGCGCGAGACTGATAGGTCCTGGGTACGAATCTTTTGAGATGCGGGATCGTGGATGCGCACTGCTGAGGAGTCCCATACTGGGACGAAACGGCCGTCCAGTGCTTCCAGGTTTTCCATGGTGGTCTAGCTTCAATTTACACATGATTTTAATCTGTAAAATGAACTTATTAATGCACATAGTTTGGATGTTGATTATTGAATATTGAATAAATTGGAAAATTCATGAATTATTAGTTGATTAAATTACTAAGTATTGTTTGAACTAGATAATGATGTCTTGCATTATAGAGATATTTAAATCGCTGATGTGATATGAGATTTACTAGATATTATGATTACCTGTATTCAGAACTTTCTTATTAATTTTTGTTAACCAATCAGTGTTGCATACAATATAAAATGATATTAAATCATTTAACAGATCAATTATTAAATTTGAACGACAATAGAATTTCATTTAGATTTCAGTCACTGATAAGCAGTAGATTAAATGGATATTATGTGGAATGAGGCTTATATAAAAAACATATACTTACTTACTTACACCTGTCACTCCTCGTGAAGGAGCATAGGCCGCTCACCAGTATTCTCCATACAACACTGTCCTAGGCAATCCTTTCCAGCTCTTTCTAGTTGTTATTCATCCTTTTCATATCTGATTCTATTTCCCGACGTAATGTGTTCTTCGGCCTTCCTCTTTTACGCCTCCCTTCAGTATTCCACGTTAGGGCTTGCCTCATGATGCAGTTTGATGATTTGCGCGATGCATGTCCTATTCATTACCATCGTCTTTTCCTAATTTCTTCTTCAGCTGGAAGTTGGTTTGTTCTCTCCCACAGAAGGCTATTGCTGATGATATCTGGTCAATGGATGTTGAGTATCTTGCGTAGACAGCTATTTATAAATACTTGTACTTTCTTGATTGTGGTTGTTGTAGTTCTCCAAGTTTCAGCTCCGTATAGTAGAACTGCCTTGACGTTTATTAAAATTTCTTTATATGTCGGATGATGACTGAATATGAATAAGTGCTTTGCACATTAGTACTAAACTACTTTCAAAATTTATAATAATACGTATCCATGATTTGACATTTTTAAAGTAACATTTATTCCCTCCCTTCACCCCTCTGAAAAGCTGTTTTCTTTTAATGGTTGAACTCCTGAGTCAATTGAAGCTAGACCACCATGGAAAACCTGGAAGCACTGGACGGCCGTTTCGTCCCAGTATGGGACTCCTCAGAAGTGAGCATCCACGACCCCACCCCTCGCGGGATTCAAACCCAGGTCCTATCAGTTTCGCGCCAGGCGCTTAATCAACTAGGCCACTGAGCTAGCATACAACGGTGTTAATGTCTAACTTCAACCAATCCACGAAGTTGCGCTACCGTACACCATTGTCTTCAGTGAGTTCCTAACTCACAACAGATCTGGTTGAACTCCACTGGTAACGACTTCTCACTAGAACTTCGGGAGTTTTTCCTGAAGTCAGTCACTAGTGAGCAATTGATTATTATCAGAATGGGTTTTGTGGAGATTTTTGGAAATTTCACTGGGTTTCTTTTAATAGGACAATAAATCTACTCTTAGATATTTCAGGATAATTTAAAGGATTCAGATTTTCTTCATAGATATTTCTTCCTATTTATATAAAATCTAATCATGATCAAAATATTTTTTTATTGTCTTAACAGGTTTAAATCAAACTGATCAACCATCATCGGATCATCAGTTAACAAAATATTTAAATATAACATGTAATGATTCGAAATCAATAGAAAACCATCATAATTTATCACCTCAATCAACAATTGAATCATTGGATTTCACTATAAATGAATCAAAAAATTCACCAAAATCAGATATAAAATGTTCTAATGATAAATCAAAACAAGATTTCTCTCAAATAAAATTATTATCTAATTCATTTAATACTATCATTAATGATAAGGAAAATTTAAATTATTATCATCAATATAATAATAATAATATGAATAAATGTTTCGATGTAACTGATTGTTATCAATCACAAGAAACGGATCATTTTTCAGATTCATTCAATAGTTCTACCTCTTGTACATCAACATCCCATTATATTCAAATTCAAGAAGATGGTATAGATAATACAGATAGAGAAGAACTTGAAATTCGTCGTAAACGACGTAAACAAATATTACCACAGCAGAATTTTCATTTTACTCCAGTTATAACTAATAATATGGATGATTTAATGGAAATTAATGACATATCAAACGAAAATGATATGACCAGATTCATAGATTATGAATTAGATGACAGTGTAAGTTATCAACCAAAAATAAGAAAATTATCTAAATGTTCATCAAAAAACGAAGTGGAGCATTTAGAAAGTGAAGAATTAGAAGAAGTGAAAGAAACAGAACATACAGAAGAGAATATAGAGAATAAAGATGTTGTAGAAATGAATTCAGATGTTCAAATGATTAATGCTGATGATGACCATATACTTAATCAAACAGATAAATTATTCAATAAAAGTTTCTCTCCTACTATTAACATAAATTCAGAATATAATAAATTAATTAGTGAATTAAGTCAATATGCCGTAGAAGCATTTCGTCGAAGTTTAACAAATAAATCGACTAAAGTACAAAAAGGTTTAGATAATGAAATGAATAGAAACAGTTGTAGCGGTGATATCGATGGCGGTAACACCACTACTACTTCTATTAATAATAATAATAATGATAATAATAATAACACAGAAGAAAGAATTATTGAACAGACGTTATTAAAACTTGAACCGCATATATCTGAATTAGTTGGTCAATCGTTAAGAACAAGTATTGAAACAATAAAAAAAGAAATGTTATCGAATTTTAAAAGAATCAATAATCATTCATCTATGAATCTATTACATAATCAATCTGAAACTAATGAAAATAATAAAACATTAGAAATTACAAATCAAGAAATATTTCCTGAAACATTTCAACATTTCAATGATCCACATAAAGATGATACTAATTCTAATGAAGAAATGAAACCAAATCATTCAATTGAAATAGTACCTATGGAAAAAATGGATCATTTAACTAATAATTTAAAACAACATTTACATAATACAACAATAAATACAAATAAACAAATGAATAATAATAATAATAATAATAAAATATTACCATCTAATAATATAATGGATCAATCTATAGAAAATGATCAAATTTCTATCATAAATAATCATTTACCAAATATAGTAACTCATTCAAATGATCATATTCAATCGGCTTATAAAACATTACTGACAAATAATATATTAAAATTACCTATAAATAATCTTACATTCAATTCAATGAATCATATGAATCCAGCCTATTCAACTTGTAATACTGATCAAAATGATTCTATTAATAATTGTATAGATACAATTGATTTTAATAAACAAATCATACATAGTATCCATGAAGAAAAAGAAAAATCATTACAATTTCCTTCATTTTTCACTAATTTGAATGACAATAATAATCAAATATATTCAAGAATTTCATCTAATGATCTATCTATGATTAATGTAAGTTTATTTATACTTTAGTTATATAATAGTGAGAACAATAACATTTTAGATTGATTTTAGCAAGTGAATTATTGAAAATCATGAACCCCTAGTTAGTTGTTTTATTCTAGTTTGGTATATTTTTGGAATTATGCAAATGCTTTAAAACTCTCTAATAGCTAGCGAATATTTTTTAAAGTTTTAAATTCGAGAAATATAACTGGAAATCCAAGACACTTACTTGTGTTTATTCATTTTAGGAGTGAAATGTTTGTTACTGATAACAATCAGTGATTATCATGAAGTATAACAGGTTACTGAAAGTGGAGATGTGGATTGTTGAATCTTGAGTCAGTGATCTAAATCTAATGCTTTCACCTCTAGAACTTTATGACCTTGGTTCAGCCCTGCATAGAGTTATAGGTTGATACTGCTGTTGAGTTTTAGGTCAGGGTTAAATAGCTGTGGGTTATTTTCTATTTTCTAATGAGGCTCTTGTTGATGTTGGCGGTGATGAAAAATATATTGAAATTGAGAATATCTACACAACCTATTTATTTAAATGTTTTTCTGTTAGAAGTACATTAGTCCACAATAAGAGCAGAAACTATTTAAAGCTTAGTAGTCTTAAATATCCTCTATTGAAATTGATAATGTAGTTAATTATACTAAGCTAACAAGGAGAGGATCAATGACAGTATAAAATGATCTTCGACAATACTGAAAGATATCAATCATTTCCAAATAATTGTTTATAAAAGGTATTGTGTAGCAACAAGATGCTTTGTGCTTATTCGTTTTTATTTTGTCATAATAATATCTAAGCCACATTAAATCTTCCTTTCACATATTAAAGTAGCAACCGCTCCAACCATTTTCAATAAAAACATATAACGTTGTATCAATGAGAAATCCCTTTTGAGTAATAATCACGTGTCCGATTTCTTCATTAATTTCATTGGTAGAAAATTTGTTGGTACAGATCTGTAAAATAGTCCTGAAGCCATCATTCAAATAAAGAAATATGCCATTTTCTCATTTGCACATTATGACAACAAAACAAATGCGAAAACATTTTAAATTAAAAGAAAAACCACCATCAGGATCATATTCTGTATGTTTAGTTTGTAACTCTCATATTTTCTCACATATCTGAAGCGGAATCTCTGAATTCTATCTCTAGGATTCAATCAATTATAATGTAGTTTGCGAAAATAACTAGACTAATTTGTGTTTGGATAAATAACCATAGATTGTATAGACAAATATTCATTCATGGAACTATGTAAGATATTACAATTTAAAGTAGATTGAGCTTCATAACTGGCAAGTATTCCGTTGATAACTGTCCAGTGAGCAAGTCATTCATGAATTAAAGAATAAATGTCTTCATCCTCTTTGAAACTAACAGATAACATATTGTATTTTATTTGTTAATAAATTGTTTACTTATCAACTTTCAAAAATTCCATTCCTTCTATAAATTAATTAGCTATTTAAGATCGTTATTTCAGATTGGTAACCATTTGAAGCTTTATTATAAACGGATACTGTATATAAAAATACCCAATAAAATAAAACAGAAGAGTATGTTATTCTAGATTAGAATTCTTTAGTAGTATGAAGTTAAACAAACTACTCCTCAGAGCTTTCGCCTTCTCATTACTTATTACGCCATGGGTATATTTTCGATCATTAATCTTAAAAAATCAGTCATTATTATCTTTAAAAGCGTCTATAGAAGTTCCTTCTAAAATCATGAATTACTGAAAAATGTTATGTAGAACGAATGTTCCATATCACTAGAAAGACCACTTAAATTTAGACTTATACTGTGTCCGTAATAATAACCTTATCTGTAATGAAATGTGGAGTAAATCAATTTCATTCCGAAAGGCCTGATGATTGTAAAAATTATTCAGAAAACCTAGTTTTAGCGAAACATATATATGTATTTAATGCTCTCTAGTTTCACAGTAAGGACTGTTTACAAAGTAAACTATATTCATTTGAAAGACTATAAATAAAAGCATCTCACTATCCGTCAATGTATTCATAATTTAAAACAACTTGGTTCAAAATTTCTTTGATCGAAATTGAATCTGTTATTTCATTCAGTATGTATGTATTTACATTTTACAGACGAATTCACCTCCGTCTTTATCCCAGTCAGTTGACTATATTAATTCTAATCAATCAGTTGATATTAATTCATCTGAAAATGTTACCTCATCAATGTTGACTAATACTACCACTTCAACATCTTCATCGTGTGATCCTGTGACGGCAGCGGCCGCCGCTGCTGCTTTAGCTAATGTCTTAGGATTTCCAATTCCATACAGTTGGTCACCGAAAACATTAACTGATATGCAAGATGCTTATGGATTACTATCAAATCCATATTATCATTGGCCGTGGAAACTTCTTAATTCTTCTTATGCATCAAAATATTCTGATCAAAATACACTTCTTCAATCTAGTTCACTAGTCAATAATACTATGAATATTATAAAGCAATTGAATAAAATAAACCCGGTCTCAACATTGAATTCTTGTTCGAAATCAAAATTTCCATTTAATGACGAAAATAAACAAAACAATATAATGATGTTCAACGATACAACTTCTTTGTCAACACAAGCAATGTCATCAGATGAACAGGTAGAAGCTATACCTTTAATAGTAAGACATGACAGAAAAATAAATAAATCTGGTTCAGTCGTAAATAGTAATAGTATCATGTATACCAGCTGTTCATCAAATTTGACAACTAGTACTAGCGTAACAACGGCACCAATAACAAATGAGAGTAATTCATTTCATGGACCAAATATTAGTCGCAGAAGACGCACTAAAGTTACTGACACACGTCTAAGTCATTCACGTGCTTCACGTTATCCAAATAATGCATTTTCGAATTGTACAATGACGAATTCTGTCATGCACCAAAACAATCGACATTATCATAATCAACCAATATCACAACAACAGTCACTTCTTCAATCAACTTCAGACATTATTGACTTTGGGCAGGCATTAAATTTGGTCACATCAACTTCTACATCTTTTGGATTGAGTGGGAACCAACTGCAAACTGATGATAAAGAATCCTTACTTATAAGCCAAAATCTTTTACCGGGTATAAATCCGGCCAAATATCGCAACACTGTTATTTCTACCAGTACTACTACTTGTAGTAATATCAACAGTACGAGTGATTTAAAATTAGATGATTTCTATTCTGCTAAGTATCGATCAGAAAATCAAATTCATAGTGGTGGTAGTAATAATAGTAGTCCATCACCAATTTCATTACGTCTTTCAGGCTATTCAAAAGAAATGACTGATAATACCTCAGAAAATCCGAAGGGACGTTGTCATAAAAATGTAGACATTTCAGAATCAGACAAGAATATCGATTATCAGCTTAACGGAGTGGATGAGAAGTTACATTGTTTGAATACACTTCAGGAATACAAATCAATTGAAAAAATGTTTTCGAAAACATTGAAAAGTTATCCATTATCTCTAAAATCAAATTTACTTAATAATATCGGTACACTACCTGCAGTTATGAATACTGTTTCCACTTCCACATCCTCCACTTATTCTCCATCGGTTTTCAAAGATATAAATACGTCATTGGTAGTGACCTCTTCAACATCACTATCCATCTCTTCTACATTCCCTACATCATCTACTACTTCTTCTGTGTCTATCACTTACCCTTGTGCATCAGTTTGTTCAGACATTAATCAACGTAAATTTTTGTCAAGATTCAATCAAATTTGTCTGTTAAATTCACGCCTCCCTAACTCATTACCACCTATTCCTCCGATCTTTTTCAATCCTACAGAAGATACAATTAACAATAATTTCAATCATATCAGTAATAATAATACAAACAATACAAATAAATTTTCCACCAGTAATTTTTACGATTATACAAGTATACAGAATGATGGACAAGAAAGACAACAACAGTCACTTTCACATAGTTTTGGAGCAAAAACTAATATTAACTATTCTCAGCCACATAATATTTCTTTATCATCGTCTCTTCCTTGCAAATCTCCCAGTCCATACTCATTATCTTCAAAATCATCTATATTTTCACCATCACAATCGTTAACATCAGTCATAGGAAGCATCGATTATAATAGTGTTATTACTACTGCTGCCAATAATAGTATTGACCATAACAATACTAATATGACAACTGTATGTAGTTCACAAAATAAACATCACCGTCCACAACAAAATCTACCCAATTTAAATAGTAAACAGCATCATAATCACATAAGTTACATAAACAAATTATACGATAAATTAAATGCAAGTGAAAATCTACTCAATATAAAGCTTGACAAATCACTATTATTGAACAATAATTTTAGTAGTGAATCAACCAGTGGGATTACACTATCAGAATCTTATCAAAATCAACTAATTAATTATTCACATGAACTACGAATGGTAAATTTGTTGTTTTTATGTAATAAGAAAGTTTATTCATTCATTAGTTCACTTTTTTTTCCACATTTATTTTGTAACTGCAAGGATCTTTGGAAATGGTTTTTATTTAGAGTTTAGTAATCTACTGAATCTGATCAGAACAACTGAGGCTTCTTTTAAAGTTTATCTGATGATATAGAGACTACTTATATCATGTACCGCCATTATTACAATTAATGAATATACTATTTGAAATATTGCTATCACGTTAACTACCAGTAGTAGTATGGCTGGTTAGATAATGTTTATCTTTGTGAAAATATGATGAAGAAACATCTTACCACATAGAGACACCTTAAACATTCCTTGTTAAATAATACTGTTATTTCACAAATATTTTCAGTCATAACTTTCATCATTGGTATTACTGTAAGATAACTTTTCAACTATGTATTGACTGTCCCAATAAATTTTGTAATAGATCAGTTGGTTCTGAAGAACTTCTACTGTGATATGTGCTACTTATGTTGACAGATGTAATTAATATGTAGCACCAATTCAACGTGGAATGTATGTCCACAAAAGACTGAGATATTATTCAAGAGTACAGAATGGGAAACAAAAATTAATTGTAATAGCGACAGAAATTAGGGAAGCGTAAAGCATAAAAAGAACAACTGAAGGAATATGTGAAAATAATGTATTTTGTGAAGGCACTCAGTAATTCCGCATTAAACAATAAGTTTGTCTTCCCTACTTGAGTGTTCGTTCACTACACTACTAATTATCCTTTAACCAAATGAATAGATATGAAATGCCATTTTTAATTAGAAAAATTAAAAGTGAAATTCTTCAGTTTGATAGCACTATTTGCCTGTTATGCTTTTGTAAAAAGAATGCGTAACTTTCTTTCAATCCCTACAGTTGAATCAGTCATTTTCACGGTGGTGAGAATTCAGTCTCTGTATGCATAAAATAAGTAAGTTATTCAAGATAAATCAACGGTTTTGAGGCTGATGAATCAAAAATTTGATTATCTGTTCAATTTTCTTTAGAATGTTCGTTCAGGAATATAATATCAGTCATACTACATACTAATTGTTTTCATTAAAATGTTAGTGTTACTAGTCTCTCTCAAGAAAGAAATTTACTTGTTTCCCTTTCTCCGATAGTTTTTGAAGACTTTATGGTTTTATTGAAACTTCTCTTGTTAGGATTCTTATACTAATATGAAAGCTAATTATAAGCTCGTAATGGTTTGCAGGAAACAGAAATTATTTCCAAATTTATCCGACTGACATCGGCTCCCCAATCATAAATTTAATTTTTGACCATCATTTGTCTGTTTCATATACAAAACTTTGGAGTATGTCGAAAACTGATGGGTGAAAATGGTTAAAATACTCATCTATACGTATTTAAGTCTTATGATATTGAATTATAAGTGACTGTCTGATATTTTGAAGTTATAGTTTATTGTATATTTTCTCCATCTCAAATAAACAGTTAAATCTTAGTGTATTTTATTTTGAGGCCAATAATAGAATTCATAGTGAGTGCTCAATTCTTTTCAGGACACGTCAAGTGAATTACACCTGGATCCTGATTTTCATCTTCAATTAAGATTCCGACTAAAATCTTTTACTTCATTTTCAACTACTTTTTTCCTAATAACTTATTCATTTTGTTCCCTTGATTGTGTTTCTTTGTTCTTGACATCATTCTCATTTTCCATACTGTTTACCTAAAGTCTGAAGATAGAATAACTAAAATAATACTTGAATACAAGAGCAGGAAAGAAAGAATATTTTAACGAAACAAATAATTCACAGAAAGACTTAAACAGAACCAAAAAGAGAATTGAAGAGTGAGAAAACACACTAAGATTACACAAATCTACGAAAAAAAATCATACTTTATTCTTCGAATTCGTCATCGAATTATTTCTACTTTTTTTCTTCTTATCCCTCTTCTTTTATCCTAATTTTCATCTTTTTTGTTTTCAAGTTGGCATACATTTCCGGAGTAAATAAAATTTCCTTCGCTACGTTGTTTCTTTCTTCTCTGTAAATTATATTCAATAAATTTTTGGTATTTTACCAGTATATTTATTGAATAGTTACGGATATAAGAGAGAAGAAAAAAGAGAAGAATGAAAGAAAGAAACTAGTGTTTGTTATTGCTATAATTGTTTTTTTTAAATTATTGTCATAATAATAATGATAATAAAGCTTATTCGATGGAGCATCTTGTTTCTTTCATTTGTACTCCGTCTTCTTCTTACTATTCTTCTTCTTTTCTTTCCTGTAAAGTTATTAGAATTCATTCATATTTGTCTTTAATTTATTGGAAAGAAGTAAAATGCTAACGGGAAATGAAAACAAACTCACAGAATCACTTTTGACTTCATCAGCATCATCATCATCATCAACATCGCTATCACAGTTCTAACCACTACCAGTGTGTTTATAACAATATGGCTTATACCTTACAATACTAATAAATACATATGATCAAACTAATGCATACAAAAATGTACATACATAAATATGCTTTTATCTTGCCTACCTGCTGTTCGTAACAGGCACCCATCGTTTGATGTGTGAGTCTGTCAGTATGCATATATATTAGTGTATATGTGAATATATGAGTGTATGTCTGTATATGTAAAGAAGAGAGCAAATATAGAATAAAGATAAAAAATTAATAATAACAGAGGCGAAAAAGGTTATTTCTTTCATTTTTCAACATTTCCGTTTCTTTTTCTCCACAACATCATTCGATCACACATATAAATATATACATATTATATAAACTATCACTTGTTTTCCTGTTAAACAACTTTGTCTAAGATACACTTCCTATTAGGTTATCAATGTAAATGAAGCAAAACTATTTTCACTTCTTCTTTCTTACTTTTTCATTAAAAAGAGGAGGTAGGTGAATCTTTTATCTAAGTGTGCAAAACAAAAGAAAAAAAAAACTGAATGACTTTCCATTTATTAGTAGTTGGCACATTTTTGGAGAAATCTTCAATTGTTTTTTTGTTCTTACATTTTTCGGATAAAATTTATTATTGTTCTTATCATCCATTCTCTTATTTTGTTTGTTGTGTTCATGTATTCATATATGCGTGCCTGTCATTGTGCGGACTTTTTGAGTTATATTGAATATAATTTTGCGTACATTTATGTTTGTATGTAATGAACAGTTTCTTTTTTGGTAAAAAATACACACAACTTAGGATAGTACAAGGTTTGAATAGAATAAAGGATATCCCCTATTTGTGTATTCTTTCTTATTTCATTTTAGAATAAATAATAATACTCGTTTGCATATGTCAGATTACAACAAAGAATATTTTTAACAACAGTACCAATTATGAATAGTAGTACTGATATTATTATTATTATTACTATTAAGAAAAGAGTTTTAGTCATAAATCGAATTTTCTATGAAGGAGTAAGGAATTGTTAAATTACTTCAAAGACATCAATGATGTTGATTAATTTTTCTATAAGAATAAGTTTTAAAGAATGTAATGTAGTTCATTTAAGTTTACAAATGTTGAAAATGCATCTCACTAAGCAAAATAAGAAATAACTTTATTTATATTTAGTTATTCTTCATTTATTGTCTGACTATTAACTAAACCGATGACATGTAAAAAGTAAGTGAATTCTACAAACTATTTCACTGTAGACTCATCAGACTACTTATGTCTATACAGTTTGGTTAATAATGTGATATAGAAAATTCTAAATATGTTTCTAATTTGCTGTCTTAATTTTGTATAATTGTGTATTCGTTAAAAGTTCTATACTACAAACACATTTCAATATTCTTACTCAACTAGTCCCATATAATGCTGCCTATTTGACTCCTTTCAAATCAAATCGTTTTTTTTTCTCACAATAAATTAATGGGATCTAAGATACACCATTCAAAATAGTTCATTTCCTAATTACTGAAACTATTGAATTATAACCCTATGAATTGAAAGTCATATATTTGCCAACAAAACGAATCATTCTAGATTCAGCACAAAGAACCATGGACTACTTATATGTACTAAATTTAATTTTACAATGAAGCCAGTTTATCAAATCGGTTAATAAAAATATTATTTCCTAAATTTCTTTTTAGAAATATCTATCCATTCATCCTTTTTTTTTGTTCTCTTTATTTATCTAAACAATTTCTAGACAACAACTTTAACACCGGTACATTTACGTAAAGCAAAATTGATGTTTTTTTATACACGATATCCGAATTCAACACTTATTAAAATGTATTTCCCTGATGTGAAATTCTATAAAAATAATACAGCTCAGTTAGTGAAATGGTTTAGTAATTTTCGGTAAGTCAAGTTTTTCTTAGTTTATTGTTCATTTTTTTAATTGATTTTTAAAAAAAGTTTTCTTATTTGTAAATTAAACCACTTGTATTTCAGTGATAATTAGAATAGAACTTAGTACCCCTAAACTTTAAACGGTAGATCATTATTTACCTGATGGTTGAGTTATGTAAATTAGTCATTTAATTAACGAGTATTTATGTTTTTTATGGTTAGCGTTTTTTTAGCGAGTTAGTTTTCTACGGGATGGGGTCGCTAACCCCATGCCCAATCCTCCTCCTTTATCCGGGCTTGGGACTGGTGGTAGCCACCGGAGGGACTCCAGGCGGAGTTATTTAAGATTTTTGTAGTTAAGTATTTGTCAAGTGTAATACCTTTACAGATTAAATTTTCTTTGGTAGATGTAAAGATATATCAAATTAAATTTTCTGAAAAGAATCTGTTTTAATACATTTTTACAACGTAATAGCTAACTGAATGTTAAAGTATTTATAGAATATGTATGCATAGCCGTCGACCGTACATTTTTATCCTACGGTGTGTTCTGCAATCTGAACCGTCTTTTTTTCTGGTCTTCAAGCCTTCTGCCTATGTTGTGCTTTTGACGTACCGAAACTGTTCTTTCAGTTTGACAACTGTGGCGGCTTCGACACCACGTTCCACAACAAACTACTTACAGCCAATCTGGCTAGTAGTAATTACAACAAAGGTACACATTGTTCAACGTATACTGATCGGAATCCAGTCAAGAATATCGAAAGAGGGAGAATTAAGACATGTACTAACAGTTATCTAAAATGATACAAGATAAATATGTTAGTAGCTCCCCAAACTCAGTAGCTCAGTAGATAACATTTTTAGAGCTTGAATAGAAAGGTACTGGGTTCAAGTTCCAGTGCGAATATGAACACGGATACAACTATATACAACTGATGATTCACAATTAGAACAAAATGCGCTCACTCGATTTCAGTACTCTCCATATTTCATTTAATCTATAACTGAGAACATAACTTGTACTCAAGCATAACTGAATATGACTTAAATATAACTTTCGGAATATTCTTGTGGTTAAACGATGATAGAAAAAGATTAAATTTTAATTCTTCATGATAATATTACATCCTTTACTATGAATCAAGTGGGAAGTTATCTAGTTCTCGAATAACTGGTACTAATATTTTCTCAGTTTATCCTAACCTTGAATATACTACTTCAATGAAAAACGTCCTAGTTAAAAATATTTATTAATTTTTCCCTTCAGTGTGCGTGCAATATGAGTACTTGCAAACTGTAACTTTACAGTGCCCACCAGAAAAAGTATCTTTTCTCAATCAACCTAGTACAAACACATTACATTAAGTGTGATCGGCTGAAGCTTGACAAGCAAACTATTAAACGACAGCTTAGTGACTTAAAGGCTAAGCGAATGCTATGAAACCTGGATATGTTGGGTTCAATAGTTAATAGGGTTGTGAATGTGTACTATTGAGGAGTTTGGTACTGATAAGAGATAACTGTTTTTTTCTTGGTTTTAAATGATTATCTTAATAAGATCGGCCCGTTATATAAATAAGCAGAATAATTAATCAGGGTAATAAATAACAAGAAAACAAATTTCATGTAGAACAATAAATTCTGTTAAGTCTTGTAGATCACTATTGTGAAACATGACAACAGACAAGAGAAATGTATATTTACCATGTGAATTAAATATTAGTACACATGTATAGTTTTCAATCTTCCATTTGCATCTTTCGGCATAAAAACCAACGTCTTACTTTCAACGTAATGAAACTCTTCACTCTATCTAACAATTGTTGTAACTTCGACGGCATGTTTCGACACGTACTGTTTATAAGCAAGCAGTTTTATCAATACAGTTCACTACACCACCAATTCATATAGATTATTAGTTACATTTCATTTTCTAATATTACAAGCTTAAACCGTTACTAAAAATGATTTAATCTGTTAACATAGAGTAAGATATTGTTCATTATTAGGTAAATTTAAACTGTTTTGTTTTTATCAGAAGGGGTTTTGTGGAGATTTTAGTAATTTCAATAGTTGAGATCATGAGTCAATTGAAGCTAGACCACCATGGGAAACCTGGAAGCACTGGACGGCCGTTTCGTCCTATTGTAGTAACTCACTGATGGCAATGGTCAGTGTGTCACTCAATTTCGTGGACTAACTGAAGTTAGACATTAACACCGTTGGATACCGGCCGGCTCAGTGGCCTAGTTGATTAAGCGCCTGGCGCGAGACTGATAGGTCCTGGTTTCGAATCCCGCGAGGCAGGGTCGTGGATGCTCACTACTGAGGAGTCCCATACTAGGGCGAAACGTCTGTCCAGTGCTTCCAGGTTTTCCATGGTGGTCTAGCTTCAATTGACTCATGTTTCGTTTTTTTTCAAATTTAAAATAAAGTCAAAGAAATTTCTTATTTTAAAATAAACATTTATCATAACTTTTAATACATTCAACAAGAAAAGAATAAAAATGTTACGATGAACTCATGAGAATATTAAAACATCAATCTTATGAACAATTTCTCAAGGGAACATCTCATCAATGAATTTTTTATGGAAAATAAACAAAAACTTTACAAAAAAAAAGAATTTCAATATAAAGAAATTCAATTTGGTAATCTGTCCATAGTCAATTAATCATTTACGCTACAATATACTTTTTTTTAGTATTTTTCTTTCATCCATATTTCTTTTTTTATATTTCTTTATTTTTATTTTTATTTTTTTTTATTTTTTAAAATCTTAATCAAAATCATTTTCTATGTTAATTTGGGTTGTATATTAGGGTACATGTTCAATGCTGACATAGATATTTGGTTTCAATGGATTGTTTTTGATGCATTAATGAATAATTTAAGATAAATAATTTTTTTTTAAAAAATAAACACAAAAAATTATTTTGAATGAACGCTACATTTGATATGTTAGCAATTACATGATTAATTTAAATAGAGAAATTTTGTCTGTTAAATTGAATTTTGAATGTCTCATAATTCTATATGAATTCATTATTTGAATATATTGTATTGAATAAGAAAGATTAGTTTAATGAAGAGTTCTCTTTTCGGCGAAAGCTGTACAATTGCAAATACATATATATTTACTCTACAGGATAATAATAATAATAATAATAATAATAATCGAACACCTTGTGAACACAAGTCACTCAATCAAGATATGCTCTGCGTTCAAAGACATCTACAAGGTAAGTAGGAGTCTTTCAAAGACAATTAGATTGCATCTTCTTTGCATTGCCAAAGTAATAGACATACATCTGGAAAAACCAGAATTGTGTGTGTAAAAGAGATTGATACAACCTCTTTTTCTACTATGATCATAATGTCTTGTCATTTTCTTCTTTTTTTTCTCTCTTCATATTCTTCTTCCTTTACAGCCATCTGCTTCCCCTCCCATCTCCCCTATAAAACTTCTACCCCCAACTGGTTTATTTCTGGGATTCTTCTGATTACATTTAATTTCAAATTCAACATTTTATCTTATCATGCTGAGCCATCCTTTCCCATTGATAATTTCCCTATCTATCATTTGATGAATACTTAAGTCTTTAACAATCAAACTATTATTAGGTTTTCATTGTTTTAAATTTTTTTAATACATCTGTTTACTTTGCCATACTGTCACCATGTCTAACAGAAGTTTATTATCAGTATTATTATAATTATCATCATCTTGACAAATAAGTATATATATATTTGCGATAGTATAGCTTTGAAAATCAGTTCGCCGAAAGGAGAACTTCTCTCTGAACTAATCTTTCTTATTTAATGTCTTAATGGGTGCATTCCGTTTACTCAATATATTGTGTTAATTTACCAAATTAGGTGAAAAAAACGTTGTTGTGGTATCAAGTGTGATGAAATTACGAGATATGAATTATTGATGAATTGGAATTTTTTTGGTTCAACTGTTTTGCTTAACTGTCTGAACCTTGATGAAAATTCCATTAAACTATTTAATGAACCATCAGAAAAATTCAATCTTAGTCTTTTTTTATAATAATAATTGATATAATGCAGTTGACCACTGCAAACAATAAAAGGTGGCTATACAATATCGTGGACTGATTAAGGTTAGAAATCAACACCGTTAGATATCCGTTCAATGATTTGGAAATTAAGCGAGGTCGGAGGTCCTGAGTTCGAGTTTTGTGCACTGTTGAGTAGTTCAATACTAGAACGAAACGGCCATCTAATGCTCACAGGTTTTCAACTGTAGTCTAACTTAAATCGGTTCATGATTTCAATGAAATTCATTAATTTTTACACCCCTATACTGAAAACAATTTGCACTTATTACTGTTTTATTTATCATACACTAGTATGTATATAAATCAGTTAGCTCATTTCTAAGCTGTAAGGTTTAATATACAGCCAAATAGAGATTGCCTAAGATGAAGTTGTACTACATATCATCACTATGACAACTCTAAATAGTTGACAGTAAAGTTGACTATAATTATTTTAAAATTAACTTTAATCACGAACTAATATTATTAAGAAATAGTAATAAGAGTCAAATAGTGATGAATGGACATTTAGTTTCATTTTGCAAATTCTTAACATTACATATTGAAAAGCTAACCCTGAATTAAACCAAAAGTATTTAACTTTCGACGTTAAAATATAACCATCGGTGTTTAAATGTTTTTTAACGCATTCACCAATAAGCATAAAGTCAATAATTATTAAGATAAATTGTGATCAGTTGTTTATTTCATTTCATAAATCTTCATTCCATGCTGACATTAACTGAAGGAAATAATTAAAAAAAGACATCCATTTACTTGGTATTGTTTTGTTTGTATCTTCCCATTGAGGTTTAATTGTATTATTTCAATTTGTAACCGTTCAGAATCACAAAATTAATAAAAAACACAACCACTAGAAAGAATTCATTGAGAAAATTAGAACAACACATATAAGCGGACAATTGTTTTCAATTCGATCGT